GATCACTTAAAAAAGTAAATAGTAGTTAAGTTGTGGTGATCACAGATATACACCAACTGGACATGTTGTAAAAGGATCCTAATGTTACACAAGTGGGTACCTGTAACTTGGGATAAAATATTCTTACCCATATTGAAAAGGGATTTATCTCAAAAACTGAAAATGTGATCTGGAAAAATACACTGGTTGACCCAAAATGTGGCTCCAGCGAGATGAAAATACTAAGGTCAAAGTTGTACATGAAGATTTTGGAGAAAATTTTTTTATAAACAAAGAGGAAAAACAATATTTCTAAATTAGTGTGATTTTATGAAGTGTGTGATTCTAAACAGGTACATGTACCTAAATTTAAAATGTAAATTTTGTAAGTAGGGATTTGATTTGTTCACCTATGTACTTAAAAGTATATGTATGTTCAAGTTGACCAAAAAACGTTTTTTTTTGGACTTTTTAATAGGGAAATTGGGGGAAATTTGATATTTGGAATTGTCTTAGAGTTGAGCAACACGATACATGCTGAATTTCAATAAAGCAAAACTGATTCACCATAGCTAGCCTGTTGACCATGTAACCAAGCAGAGCTCTGGTCTCTTTTATCAGAGCGCAAAAAAACCAGTAAGTTTGATCATATATAGTGACTTGTTTCACCTCCATTTAATAATCTTTCAGAGATTATAACTTGAAGCAAGTCAACCGCAGGTGTCCAGGATTCATTCCTGGACCCCTGATGTTCCCTCGGTCAGGAGCTGCAGTGGCACAATGCTCAACGCTTGAAGCCAGCTCCTCAGCCTGTCTCCATCCCGCTCCCCACCCCACCCCGAATCCCACTGGCTTCACCCGCCCAGCTGACCTAATTTCCTAGCACAGCCCACGGGCCTCCTCCATGCCCGGGAGGGTGGAGTCTTCCCTCCTAACAGCTCCTCTGACTGGAATGGCTACCCCCCAACTCCATCCTTTATAACCCGACACTCTCCCTGAAGTTGCCCTGACCACCTCAGTCCACAACATATGGCTTCTGCTCCCCCAAACCCTCGAGCAATGCAGTCATAATTTAGCACTTCCATGCTCTTGTAAATTATTCTGTGGTTGCTTCAGGCATGTTCTTTTTTCTAAGAGAAAAGAATTTTGAGGGCAGGAACTAAGACTGATAATCCTTCCAGATCCTCCCCACAGGTGACTGTCACTTGACTGAACGCTGTCTAATGACCTCATGCCATTTCAAGTGGAGGATGCTTTTGCCCCTGTTTCTAAGGGCAAACTAAAAGAAAAACAGGAGGAGTACCTTCTGTAAACAACTGTTTTTGGCAAACCTGCCGCTTCTGAGACTGTGCTGGTATTAACCTACTGGCCTGAATCAAAGCGCATTTGTAAAGGGGTGAGTGCAGATGGCACAAAAAAGGAAGACAACCACATCTTGTTTTCTAGAGTTGTAAAAGGTTCTCCATGCACCAACCCATCAGGGAAACAGCTTGTCAAGGCAGAAATCTTTACAAATACCCAGAACTTGACCACGGCTTATCACCTCCACCACCACAGCCCTGAGCTATGCTGCCATCATCCATCACCTGCAGTGATGGATGCAAAGGCCTCCTACAGGTCCCCCTGCACCCCTCCTCACCTCCCCACAATCCCAACACTCACCCACACGGGCCTGCTAGAATGCTAGTCAGATTGGGTCCAAACTCTCGGATCATGGATCAGTCTGACTCCTGGCAGGAAACAGATGGCACATTCCAAGTGGGGGATTTGAGGAGAGTTTCTAAAGGAACTAGTTACAGAGGTGTAGGTAGGTGTAGGGAAACCACAAGAGAGAGTACAGAACTCTAGGGCAGGCAACATGGGCGTGCTCGATCTCCTCCTGGGCCTGAAAAGTGTGAAGAGAAGGAGTGGAGCGGGTGCCAAAGAACCCCAGTGAAAGGCACCTGAGAAGACTTGTGACCTCAAGTCTAGAGACCCTCCAGACCACGCAATCTGTCAGGAAAGGAGTAAAGGTGCTGATCTCATTCTCTCTCTCTCTCATGCCCTATCAGTACGCCCCATGGCCAAATACACCTAGAAGCCATAAGGCAAGGGAGCCTTGTCCACCTCTTACGGCGCATCGGCAGAGCGGCGTGGAAAAGGATACTGCGGGTCTGGGGAGGTAAAAAGAAGCCATCCAGCCAAATGGCTCCCCATCTCAATCAGGGCAACTGAAAGTATACTTACAATGGTCTGTAAGGGCCTACATGATCCGACTTCATCTCCTATTCTCCTGTTTACTAACCTCTCTCCTCACAGTGACCCTTCACTTACCAGGCACTAGGGACGCCTCAGGTCCTTTACACTTGCCACTTTCTCTGCCCAAAATGCTTCTCCCCCAGACACACCCATGGCTTGTTCCCTCACTTACTTCGGGTCTCAGCTCAAGCGGCAGGCATATCATCAGACGTTTTCCCTTACCACCTGATATAAAAACCCTTCCTGCTCCGACCCCACCCATTCCTGGCATACTTCATCTCTCTTATCCTGTTTTTCTCCACAGCACTTCTCATTAAAATTAGACAGACAGACAGATGGATATTTAGAGAGACAGACAGATAGACAGCTTTTCCCCCCTTTTTTGTTGACTGTCTCCCTGGCCTAGAAGAAAAGTTTCATAAAGGCACCAACTTGGCCTCTTTTGCTTATTGCCTTATATCCAGTGCCTTGAACAGAGCCTGGCACATAGAAGACCCTCAAGTATTTGTTGAACGAATAAAAATGTGAATGAATAGAACAGAAGAATCCATAGCTAAGGGCTCTTTCCACTGTTTATAGGTTTAATTCCTATTATCAAATTGTTGCTTAACAAATAAATAAGGTTTCCTGATAATCAGACAGGAAACAGGAGATAAGCATTTGTTCTTATTGGCAATGGCACAAAACTAAACCCTGTCAGTAAATCCCTATGAATAAATGGACAGAACCAAAAGAATAACTAGTATCTTCTGTAGACAACTCCTCCTAACAAGGTTGGTATTTCTTATGCATATATATCCTTATTAACCTACCCACCTAGTACCTCTAAGCCTCAGTTTTCTCATCTGTGAAATGGAAAAGGATTGAGTGATACAATGTATGGAGAGCATTTAGCACAGAACTGGGACTCAGTAAATGGACACTACTATGATTATCAGTAGTGTTGACACTGAGGTAACCATCTGTATGAGATACTACATCATCTTCCTACTCTCTGGAACTGTTTATCCCAGACTTTTAAAATGTGAACTGGAAGAATGACATGGAAAAGACAAACAAGATGCTTTACTATCTATCTACATAGTTGGGTCTACAATTGAAAGACACCCTATAATAACAGTGTTCCATATCAGCGCCTAGCCTTGGCCCTGGCTGACCTGGCAGCCCAGAATCTTGTTGCCTCCATTTTTGCATCACTTATTATGCCTAGACATTTAAAATATAAGTGCTAGTATTTCCTGGCAGGAACTAAGCAGGGGCATTCGACTGAAAAAAATAAAGTAGTACAGGAAAAAGAGAGCAGATCAGCAAAACTCCTGATAATGTTCCTGTTTTTGACTTGCCCCTTTAACCATGGAAGTCTCTGTCCTGGTCTCTAAATTAACAGACCAGCTTCTGATCCCCTTTTCTCCACTAGTATTCTGTCCATATCCTTATCTGCTGGGTCAGTCAATTACATAAAAAGGAAAAAGGAAAAGGCTTTACCTGAATAAACTCTACAGTCCGTCACTTAGGAATACTACAAAGATCCTGTAGGTTTTTCATTGATGGGAGATTTCTTTGCAATCTTTTGCAAAAGACTTCTGTAGAAAGACACAGTGGTGGGCTAACTAAGCTGGGGAGCTAGATTCAAAAGGTAAGGGCTAAAACCCATGTAGCATAAATCTCCAGTTATAATATTCTTTCTGCTACTATGTGTATAACTGTGTATTCAAGTCCTTGTTTTTTGTTATACATTTATAATTATATTCATAGTCATAAATATAAAATATGATAACTATCACTACTAATTTTGCCTAAATGGCAGGCTTTCAAGTTCAGGTATGAAAGTCAAAGCAAGTCCCTCCAATGTTAAGCCTGGGAACTGATCTTACTACTAAGAGATCTTATTTTATTTGTTAGTACTAAAGCCTGATGCTAATTTGTTAGTACCAAAAAGAATCATCTCAACCACTTCTAGTGACGGATGGGCAAACATTTCCACAATAACTTGGGAACAATTCCAAATGGAGAATGAAAAGAAAAACAAAACTAGAGTTCACTACTCATTCCTCAAGCACTTTTCAAAGTGATAGGTTCGAGGCCTCAGTGAATTAAGGATAAGTCATCTAAAAATGTATAATTTTATTATAGCGCTTTCCAGACAGTATTGCTTTCCTCAACTTGGCTGTGCCATGCTCTTAGTCAGAAACTGGTTTATTTCTTTGTATTTCCAGCGTTTAACATCGTGTCCAATACTTTGCTGGTGCTCAAATGATTGCATGACTACTAAAATGCCCACCCACGAGGCAGGCCCTACACCTAGCACTGTAGGTCAGAAATTAAACAGATCCTGGAATGGCATGAACGCCGTCTGGCCGCTTCTCTTCCCCTCTATGTCCCAAAACTACGAGCAGGGTGAGGAAAGTGCACTATCCATCTGAAAACCTCCCGATGTCCCGGCAGAATGAAACCGGCTGTCTGACCCGCCCAGGCTGCTTCAGTCGTCCAGGCACAGAACACGATTCTCTTCGCTTCCTTAGGCAGAGAGGACCCGGGTACTGTCTTCCCCTCCAAACCCAGCCCTGACAACGACCCCTCCCCAACCTGGCCCCACAAATGAAATGCTCCATTCCCCAACCCAACCAAGCCTGGGCGCCCAGAGCTTCCCAGAGGAAAGGTGCCGCGGTGCACTGTGGGAGTAGTAGTTCCCCGGTAAGTTCCGCACGCCTACGGCCCTGCGGACAGAACTCCCGCTCCCAGAAGCCCCCGCGTGGGCGCCTCGCTCAGTCCGGCCACCTCACCTGTTCTATGGACGTGACTGTTTCCACCGAGTCGTCCTGCAACCGCTCCCGCGCGTGCTCGGGCCTCAGACTGTACAGCGGCTCTGACCAGATAGGGGCGGAAGATGGAGGGCAATAGTAGGTGAAGGAACTCGGAGAAGCCATAATCAGGAGAGCAGCAGGCGGTGTATAGGACTCCCTTCGTCAAACAACAACGCGCATTGAAACTCAAGCGGGCTAAGTAGCTACGGAGAGCGGGTAGAGTCAAAAAGACTTTGAACGCGAGTCTCTCTCCACCCGCCTACACCTCTTCAGGGAGCGAGTTACTAGGATGCTGCCGCCCCCCATTGGGCAGAGGAGCTGCTGCAGGAGGCTCGGCTTCCTGGCGCGCAAGGAAGGAAGGAAGGAAGGAAGGAAGGATGTGTCTCTCCATCTGGGTTTCATTTCAGAGAGATGGTGTAGGACGCCTCGGTTCGTTATGCAAATTAACGCACGCACGCACACTTCAACATTGTGCTAATTGTCACCTAATCGTAATGGCAGTAGTTCGCAGTTTCGGGTCCCCAAGAACCGTGAGTGGAACTGTAGAAACGTTTTTGACAGTTCTCCTGACTCACACGCTGTCGCTAATAGAATTACTGTGCACCTTTGGGTGCTGCGTGACCGCCGCCCAGGAGAAGCCTTTGGCTTCTCAACAAGGGAATTGCCTTCTCGGTACTCCCTGATGGAGGGAAGGGGCATTGTAGCTGTCTCCTATCCCCCAGGGAGTTAGCATGCAGTAGCAGGAACTAAAGTGCAGCAGAAGGAAGAAGTATAAGGGCAACGACAAAGGGAAAAGTCGTTTATTCAGCAGTTGTTTAGGGAGCCCCCTACTGTACGTCACACACTGTGCTAGGCTCCAGAAATACAAAAGTGAACAAAACAAACAAGGTCCCTGCCCTTGGGAACCTTACCGTCCAGTGGAATAGACAGAATTAATGAACGAACACAATGAATATGTGAAGACTTGCGATAAACGGTATGAAAGAAAATAACAGGGTCTACGAGAGAGTGGAAAGGAGGAAGGGACTCATTGGATTGGGTGGTCAGGCCAAGCCTCTCCGAGGCCTCTCCGAGACCCAAAGGACGACAAGGAGCCGTCCACACGAACGATGTGGGGAAGAGCTCCACGAGAAGAAGGAACAGCAAGTTTGAGAGAATACTGCTACAGATATACGTATGTATGTGTATTAATTCTGATGATTTAATCTGAAGGTGTTCAGAATAAGTAAACGCATTGAGCAGGGTTAACCATCACATATGCCTACATAAAAATGTTAAAGTTGTGATTTTCGGAAAATCCTGTCTTTGGACAAGAAATAGAAGAGAATCTCTTCCAGGGTCCTGAAAGGACTACATCAAAATTGTATACCAAAAATTGGGGCAGAGGGACAGAAGATACCATAATAACGGGCTTTCCGGAGAGACTTGGACAACTTCCTGCTCAGAGTATTTTACTCTGTTCCCACTCAATTCCAAGGCACATGTCTTGAACCCAAGGAACTGTGCTGTGGTATTTCACAACCAACCATTCTCCTCTTACGCATCTCTGGTGTTAAATAGAAGCTCTCAGATTCTAAAGATGAGGCTGGGATGCCCTAAAGGCAGGTAAACACTATCACCATGTCCATTTTAGTGGTCCTGTTGCTGAGTTAAGTCCTGTAGGTGGCTGAATGTTTCTAAATCTGAGAATAAGTGACACTGTGTGGGTTAGGGTCATGGATATGACTGCACTGTACTTCCCTCTCTATTTGCATCTTATTGTCTTTCCCTTGGTTCTGTTTTGGGGAAAGAAAGGTCTGATAAGGTCTGAGTCACATCTAAGGATTCTTTGTAAAGAGTTGCTTTGCTGGCTAGAAATTTAAGTTGAGCTACTGAAAGAGTAGCTGGAACAGTTTTGTAACAAGTTGTTATATCTGTTACAGGTGCACCTAAAGCAATTGCAAATTGTATTCAAGAAATGGAAATCCATTTCTGAAATGCAGTCTCTTCTGCATTGGGATCTAAAAGGAGCATGGCAAGAGTCCCCTGCAGGATACCGTCTGTTCATTCAATAGGCATTTATTGAGTCCCCATTATGTGCTGAGCACTGAGCTAAGTGCTGAGGAGACATTGGTGAAAAAGCCAGACACAGTCTCAACCCTTAGAGGGCTCATGATTTACCAGAAGAAACAAGACATTAAACAATCGTTACAAAATTGACTATTTCATTACAGTTGGGGGAAATGGCAGACCCATAGGCCATTGTGAGATTATATAACAGGGAAATTTACGGTATGGAAGATCAGGAAGGACTCACATAAGGAAATGAGTTAATTAATTCAGGGTGAGGGGACATCCCAGGCAGAGGAAACCCAATGACAACCAAAGGTCAAGGGAAACAAGGAATGAAAAATATGAGGAGTTTGTACTCTGTGTAGCATTAGAGAGGACTGCTTAGTCTTGGATCAGCAATGGCCCACCAATTGTCCTTCCTCTGGGTTTGATAAAACCACTGGTTCAAGAAGCAGAATGAACATAAATATTGGCAGTATGGCAAAGAACGATATACTTACAGGAGAAAATAATAGCAACTGCAGCTTGGACTGCAGATGGTTTGGGTTTATTTTACTCAAATGTCTGGTATTTTTCTAAATTGAGCTGTGAGTCGTAATTGTTTCTTTAAAAATAATACAAAATGTAGAGAGTACTATTTTGCATGTTGAAGAGCAAGAAAACAAGAAAAAAAATTAATGACCTAAATGAACCACTAGAGGTCGCTCCTGACCCCAGAGTAAGCTTACAGAGTAGGCCTTTTTTAAAACCGCTCTCACTGCATTACTCACAGAAGCCCATATGTCGGCATGAATTGTTTCTTTTAATATCTTCTGAAAGTATATAATATACAAGTACACATCTTGTAAAGATTAGAAAATGGAAAGAACTCATCCATTATCCTGCTAGATAATTAATTTCTTGCCCACATTTACGCGTCTACCCACAGCTGTGGCCTCCGATCCTGGCTTCCCTGTCCCTCCTCTTTCTCTGGACAGAATGACTGCCCTTACTGAGGGCCAGCCCCACCCCCTCCCCTCATGCCCAACCCGTGGATGTTACTCCAGCAATTCTCCCTTGTCTCTCTTAAAACGTCAAGTACATTATCCCTGTACTTGGTTATGCCCATCACCCTCAAACAGGCTACTTCTCCACTCTTGGGGGAAAAAAGACATTGTTAACCCTCTTGATTCCACCCTCTTTCAGCACCTTCCCATCACTCATTTCCTCCCAGTGTCTCCAATTCCTCTCCTCCAAATACCTCTTGAACCCATTCCCATCTGGCTTCCCCATCAGTTCTTGTCAAGTCCCTGTTCAACTCCATGTTGCTAAATCCAAGGGCCAGTTCTCAGTCCTCATCTGTCTTCCTGCTTGACTTCCTAGCAATATTTCTTATTAGCAGTTCCCTTCTCTAGAAATATTTTCTTGTAGTGTCCAGTACTAGCCTTTGCTACTTCTTCATCTTCCTGACACCTTCACTTTGGAGGGCTCTGTCTACACTCATCACCTGTGAGCTCATTTAGTCTTGATGTTTTAAATACTACCGTTGGGTTGAAAACTCCTTCATTTATATCTCCAGCCTGGATCCCCTGAACTCTGAGTTCATATCTAATATCTAATATCCTGTTTGCATTTCCACTTACATGTCTAACAGGCATCTCCACACCAGAGCTGCCGGCCTTCCCTTCCAAGCCTCTGCACTCAGTCTTCCCCATCTCAGTTGTGCTAACTCCATCCCTCCACTTGGAGTCCATCCCTGATGCCTCTCTTTCTCTCATTCCCCATAAATCTTGTTGAAGACATACACAGAATCAGACCAGTGCTTATTGATTCCACCGCTAGTGTCCTGGTCCAAGCCACCACCATGTTGCTTGGATTCTTACACTCATCTCTTAACTCCCTGTTTTCCATGTTTCGGCTCTTGCCTCTCTGCAGCCAAATACAAGCTCAAAAGCCAGAATGAACCTTTTCAGTATAAGCAAAGTTACCCTTTTGCTCAAAGCCTTCTTCTCATCTCAAAGTCAAAATCAAGGTCCTTAACCATGGCCTAGAAGGCCCCGACAACATGGCCTTTACTCCTTGTACTCTCCCGCTTGCTCACACTGTCCCC